AGTGTAAACATATGTTCATTGTGTTAATTTAAAACCGACCATAATGGCTTATTGATATGCATGAGTGCTGTGGGGAAATTCGTGCATGCTTTTGACAGCTTTTCATTGTGTGTTGAAAAAGCAATAAAAGATGTGGTGGAAAGTGGGTTGTGGAATTTGCTGCAAAAAAAAATTTCGTATTTTTTTCGTATAGTCGTTAGCGGTATGAGATAAATAAATAATATGGAAGACGAATTTAATTCTGTGCAACGTTTGGTGAACTTGTTTATGAAGTAATTAAATGAAGTGAGAACTTTGCAACATTGGGGTTAGCTAAATACCTTTCTCAATTCAGAATCATTTAAGTTTTTGCTTCGTTTTTGTCTCTATTAAGTAGAACTAAACTCGGTTGCTTCATACAAAATTTTAGAGTGCTACCTGTGTTATTTTATGTTAATAAATCGACGTATAATCGAAACTGGTTTTATAAAACTTTTCGAAACTTCTCACTTTTATGATATTTTAGACAGTTTTCACGCATTCTTAACCTCAAATTATTTTTACCCACTTTCCAACCTAAACTACCATCTAGTGAACATTGAATTGCCCAGTTTTTAACGGCTTCTAAGCGTAACTAAAGAAAGGTGTACATTAATTTTGCAAAACCGTCCTAACTTCGACGAAAAAGAAAGAATTACAAGCCTATTAACATAGTAGCGGCAACGATTCAACGGCAATCCCGCAAAACAACAACATTGACCAATTGACATAAATCTTACCCTTTTTGACAGTTACCAGCTTGAAGCATATTACCTGGTACAATTACAGCACACAGTGACAACAACTCACGCTCACATTGTATATAAATATGTACTATGGTAAGTACATAGGTTGGACCGCCACTGAAGCTGGGCATTGAGGCACTGATTACGGTCTAATTGCAATTGTCAATATCAGCTGGTGCCTGCGCGCTGTTTTTCCTCAAATTATGCACGCTACATAAATTTTGCAGCAAAAATCTCAGCAGATAGCAATATACAATTGTGATAAAATGTGGAAACACGCTTTTCATGCGCTGGACTCTCACTCAATTATATGCATAAGTGATGTAGCTGAGCGCCCAGGTAAACGCTCTGCTGGCTGATCCTGCACTTTTTAATCGCTTGCCGTTTGTATATATTTTTTTTGTTAATTCTTGATTTTCGCTCTGTGCGGCCTCACACTTTTTGCACCTTTTCTTTATATCTACGCTTGTCTGCTAACTGGAAATAATTTTCCGATAAATACGCTCGGCAATTTTTCTCTAATTTGGCGCAACTCTTAGCCGCCATGCTGTGTTGCACAGCTGATAAGTGTTCGTGTTATAGGCATTCGTGCTTGTAGTGGTGTTAGCGAGTTTCATTGAGCTGTTCGTTCCACCTTAATTTTTTGTTGAGAAGATTGCCTTTGAAGCGCCAATATATTTTAGTCACTTTGGTGGCAAAAAAGGAAAATTAAGTATTGCCGACAATTGTTTTTATAGCACAATTCCGAGAAGAACTCTTTAGCAATTTTACAAGCATTACCACGCACAATCTCAATATTTGCTGGCAGCATAGAAAAGAGATAACAGGTTAGCGGTAATTTCCGAGAACTTTTGCAACTGTTAGCTTATGAGCTTGTCAATTTTTATTTACGTTGTTAAATGTTGATATTTATTGCATGTAATTATTTTGAATGCGTTATCTACTGATTTTGCGTATTAAATTTTCACATTCAAAGTAAAGTTAATGATTTTTGACAAATATTTTTTATTACAATGTTCTTTTCTGATTTCGTGGTAATTCCAAGAACTTTGCGCATTAAATATGAGCTTAAGCTACTTGGAACCACGAAACCTTCTGGTAATTGAAATCGGTTACGAAATATTATTACAACCCAACATCACGTTGCACAGAGTATTTTTCATTTAACAGTTGTTTTAAATATTCAATTGAGATAGATATAAGAATCAGTTTATATTTTCCATCTCTCTACACCTCTTCTCTACGGTGACTTGTAGCTAGAAATAGTCACAATAGTAATTTTGTCTATATAACAAGTTGTTAAACTTTGCCTTCAATAACTTTCAACAGAATTACTGCATGTTTAATGTTACAATATTTATATCTATCAATATCACAGATCACTTATTTATGATATGATATAATAATATGATTAAGTTAGGTATATATATATATATAAATGTATTATAGTTTAAGTTTCAGCATTAAGTTTTATTGATATCTAATTCATACGTTGCACGTACATACTTCAGACTCAACTAACATCGAATTAGTGGTACTTGAATACAGTGCTCCCTAACAGAATCTAATTCCAAATCACTCATTATGCATACGTGTATTCACATGTTTAATCTCACCAAAGTACTGCTACCTTGTTCAAGTAGCAGAATTAAAACCTTTGTAAACCCAAATGCAACGTGATTATTAACATGATGCAATGGTCACTACTGAACCCAATTGTCCAAACGTATTATCTAACTCATTTATTGACCAAATAATGCAAAAAGGCGACAGCTTTGCTAGAGCGGCTCTACTTTAGGCGCTGTGGCTATTAGATCCACACAAAGCTATGCTAACATGTAAATAAAACGATTTTTTCTTTGTCAGAAAAAGTAAACAAGTAGAAATTTATCTATACATGTGCAGTTAGTTAAAAAATAATAAAAGAATAAAGAAAAACATACTCATGAACCGATAACGAATTCAATGAATTTGTTGACGGACAAAAACCCAAAACAACCGCAACAATAGCAAAAAATGTGTATATTGGGTCTATTATTTTAATTATTTTGTGTGTGCGTTTGCGTAAAACATGCTATTAAAGAGCAAATTTTTAGGCGGAGTAGTGATCTAGAAATAAATTTTTTTAATACCTTCGGAAAACACAAATATTCCGATCTCAGCGTAACCGAATATAACAACTGCCACGATATCTCAATCAAACGTCTGTCTAAGTACACATTAATAAAAAAAAACACATGTTTGGTAATTAGTTCAAGGCGATCACTTTGGAAACTTACCGATTAATTTTGCTCCAACAATGACCACAGTAGTGCCATTCTGACTGCACTAGGTCACGGTTAGTTATCGCAAACGCCAAGTGATAGCCGCGTCCAAGCACATTGGAGCGCCGGCTATGGCTGTGTTATGCCCATATACCGATGGGGCCGTACTACTCGTATTACAAAGATATTTTCGTTTAAAGTTTACGCGAAATTATCGCAAATAGAAAGTACAAGAATGATATATAAAATAATATCTTTTTGTAGTTTGTTTTCTGTTTTCTGTAAAGTTTATGAGGTGCCAGCGGCTCGACTGTGTTGTTTGTTATGATTTTTATTGTTTTGTTGACTTCTTTGCGAATTCGTTTTTTTGTTTTTTTTTGTTTTTTTTTTTTTTGTTTTTACTTTAATTTAGCGCTCATTTCATATGAAATTATAGCGCAATTAAATAGCGCAGCAGGCGACTGTCACTGACCGCTTTCCCAATCGCCGATATGGTGCGGGCTGCAGTTGGTCGAGTGCCTGTTAAAAATGGGTTAGATGCATGTTGGAGTTTCATGGCCATAGATTACACGTACGACTTTATGTGTGACTTCTTGTATGTGTTTGTGTAAAGCCATACATATGTGGAGTTATATGAGTATAAACCGCAGCCAGATGGTCTTAATATCAAGCAGAGCACATTGTCATGACGACGATATGCAACAGTGATTTTATTTGATGCGGAATGTGGTATACAAACAACAAATTGCAACCAAAATTATAGGTGTTTTTATTCAGTTTTTACAAGATATTAAAATGCTTACTTTTCTTCGAGAGAGATGCTGTAATTTAGCAGTTTTTACACCTACTAGTTTATTTTATTAAAAGATAAAACAATTGATAATAGTTCTTCGTTGGAGGAGTTAAGTTTCGTATCTCACTGAAACATTCTCCGTATTGTATATTAGGAAAAAAATGTATGTTTCTGTTTTTAATATTTTTTTCACTTTTCAAGGCGTTTCACAGCACAACATGCTGTTGAAGAGTAATTTTTAGGCGGAAAAGTGATCTAGAAATAAATATTTTATTTAGCACCAGCCACGATGTATTATATCTTATACTTATAATATTATCCAACATTGCTTATTGCCAACCGCATATTTTTGCATAAAATGACATAGCCGAAATTCGTTTCCTGTATAAATTGTTGCTTGGTCGATAAAAATTAAGTACAGCTGCCACCAAAAAAAGGTATTCCCTACGTTGCTGAGTCGATTATTAGCCAGCGTCGCTAGTCGTTGGTTATTATGTCGAGTGTATTTATCGTATAATAAATTTCGTCTCATAAATTCTTTTCTATATCGTAATAATTACTTTATCGAAAATTAGTGCCTAGTACACATTGTAAAGATTGATTTTACGGCTCATAAATACATTTATATCGTGTGTAGGTATTTATGTGTATACATTTATAACAATGTATTATCATCGATAATTGAAAAATGGCAGTAAATGAAAACAACAAAAGAATAAGGCGACATTATTTTAGCAACTTTAAAGAGTTTTAGAATAGTGGTGGATGTGAACTATGGATATATAATGCGTGAGCGTCACTTGCGCTGCTTTTTAGTTCTTGTTATAGGAAAAAACATTTACCATACCAGGTTTTGGGGGTATAAAAAATTATTAGTATTTGCTACACAACTTCAAAATTTTACTATACATATCACATGTATTAACATTATGTCGCCTGATTCATCATATTATGTTATTCAAACATAGCTCACACCCTGTAAAAGAAATTTGTTTTTCACAAGTGTTTCACAAGTTCAATTTTGAGTCACCCAGCATATTTTATTTAATAACTGGTGGTTGAGCTCATTAATTAATAATTTAAAGAATTTCAATATCTTTTAAAGAACCTATGTGTCATATATTTGTAAAAATAACGGTGAAATTCCATTAATATGTGCAAAATATTTTCTATTTACAGTTATGTCAACGTCAATAAGCCAGCACACGAGCACTGCACGAAATCTCATTGGATCACCGGCAATCAATAAACAAACCAATACAAATATTTAGCAAAAATGCGCAGCACGTTCGGCGCAAAACGAAAAATTTCCAATCAAACGATAACGTAGTACGAGAAAAGTTAAGTAAACATATTTTGCGTGGAACCATAACGGTTGTAAGTACTTTGTCATTAATTTTTGTTCGCAATCTTATACCTACACACATACACACCTACACTTGTAGTCTTATAGAAATGCGCTGGAAAACTACCCAATACCTTGGGACCACCCGCCTATGACAGCCTACCAAACTTTACATTATTTACGAGGGCGGCATTTGTCATCACAAGCTTAACAAAAAAATGAACGCAATTAAAAACAAAAAACATAAAAATAATAAATAGCTGTGGACATATTTGTGGTAATGCTCCGACATACATATATACAGACATGTACATATAGTATATATAATAGTATCACTCTGCTTTTATTGAAGTGCAATAAATAGCCGGGAACGCCTTTCATTACAACAGCAAATAGTTACAAATAAATTCTGTTATATTTATACGTGTATGTGTGCCAATAAAATTCACTTACACTTACACAAACACACATATATGTCAAGTCAATTAAGCGCACACGCACACTAGCTCACGACAGCCGTTGAGATAAATCCACACAAACTTTCAATGTAACAGTGTTATCAAGTCAAGCCGCCAACAACAACAAACCTGCAATTTAATGTCAGGCGATGGCGAAGTTTTCTGTACTGATTTTATGATATTTGAGACATTCTTTAGATTAAAATTATTGGCGACAAGTGCTTGAGAGCGACCAAATAGAAAGTAGCGCTGTTGGGTGTGAGGCAGTATAACTGTTGTTGCTGTTTTTATTCATTCAAACGATTGCAAACGCAGTTGGGAATGGGAAAAAAGTGGTGCAGGTTTGTGGAATTCCGTTACGTTTAGTTATGCGTTCCAGGGGAAGTGCGCAACCGATAAGAGATTCCAAGTAGATAAGTGGCCGTGACTGTGTTTCGGTGCAAAGAGCTGGAACGGGGCGCAGCGTGGCAGCCGTTAGGTGGGCTTGGCAGTCGAAGTGGTATTCAGTGACCGATATCATGATTTGAAGGTGTCAATTTTGTCAATGACTTGCTAGATCGAACAGGAAGCCGCTAATTCAAATTTAATGAAAAAAAGTGCTGAAATAAACAAAAGATACAGAATATGCGCAATAGAACCAAATAAATGTGAGCAGACGCATTTTTCGGCATGACACGCAATTTCGTTGCTATTTTTCACAATTTTTGGAGAATTTTTTTTTTTTTTTTTTGGAAACCCGTTTAAATATTTCGTTAGAACAAATGGCTTAAAATAAAGAAATTTCTAATTTTAGGTGACTACTAAAAAGTCAAATAGCACAGCACAGCTGTTTTCTTGTCTTCTGTCAACAGCTGAAGAAATATTTGCGCATACCAGCACTTTGCACCATTGTTGATTAACTTCTCCACACATATTTCTATTATTTAGCTCGAGTCTCTAAGACAATAGCGTCAAATATGCTATTTTTCAGCGCACACAATTGTGTATATTAAGAAAATATTTACCACGAAGCACACAAAGCCTATAAACCCTTATCAAATACCGCCACAAATCTATAACGAAGTTGCAAGCCAAAAGTTCTAACACTTTAGGTGTTCTTCCGCATACGCACACGCACAAATCTACATTGATAGCAACATCTAGTGAAGGTCAATGGCAAGGACTCGTTGATATTGCTTGTTAAAAAGCAAATTAACCGACATTTGAAGCGCAAAGTGAAGGTCATACACAATTTCAACTTCGTTCGATTTTCATACATTTTCTGTAAAATTTAATCTTTGTTTTGAATATCTCCAACAAACCTTCACGTGTTTTTCAACAAATGATAGTTTTGGTTTCTTTCGCCTTTTGATTAGTTCTTTTATTATTTGGTAAATGTTAGCTTTTATCGCTTCAACCTTGATGTCTTCATTACCATTCTTGTCAAACGAAAATTGTGTCAACTCGTCGTTATGATACGAGTGCTTTGCTCCCGTAATTTATGTTGTATAGTCTGTTTACTAAGTGTTAGACAATTGGATTGCCATTTTTAAAAACAGATTTCAATATCTGGTTTGTTAACAGCGTGTGACATTTAAATTATTTGCTATTTGCAGAAAAAAAGCCATAGAACGCAAGTATTCTCGAATAATGCTTAATACTTACAAAAATTCCACAACTTTACTATAAATATTGCTGAATGAATAGATTTTCAATATCTACTGAAACGTTCTGTTTCTGTAAAGATTAAAGCTTGCTCAAATATGTTGCAAATGATAAAGTTTTAACATAGAATATTCTTGGAAAAAGAACGCCTGGTAGTAAATATACGTTGACGAATCTACCTATACCAAACCTAACTCTTTATATGGCAACCCTCTCTGCTTAAAAATAAGTACTCTCATTTTGTTGAAAATTATTAAACACACTGTTAATTTAATACTCCCAATAATTGCAGTAGCACTGAACTGATAAGCGCAAATATTAAATATTTCAAATAACTATTATTGCACACATTGTCTATAAATACCAGACGTTATTCCAAGAATCGTACACCTAGTAATATTCTTCAAAAAGCATAAAACATGAGTATGCCAGTAAATTTATGAAAACTACAAAAAGTGCGAGGGTTTATGTCAAAAAATTTATTTTTACCATACTGTGATCTAGGTAGTTTAAATGTATTCTAAAAATCATAAGTGTGTTTGAAGCAAATATTTGAAGACGTTTCGAAACTTAAGATACATAGTGAACACGGAAAAACTTCATCTTAAAACCAAATTTCGTTCAAGTAGCACACTTTGCGTCGCATCACACAAAATATCTTGTTGCCAACTTTTGCATTGTGATTTCATTCACTAGCATAATTCATTTACAATTCTCCAATGGTTTTAAAAGTTTATCTTATATATGTAATACGAATACTAATTCTATTATGAGTTATCTTTTTCAACTCATGGGGAGTAGTGAAAGGGGCTTTGGCTGAATTTTAACGGTAAATTTCAGAAAAAATCCAAAATATATTATTAATAAGCTTCTTCATACCAGTTTTTTGAAACATTAGAAATATTATTACACTATTTAAATACGAATTAAAATAATAGAAACTAAATTATGAGAGCAAAATCTTCACAGACTTCAAAATCGCAAAATCTCACGGCTGTATTTTTCAATATAAATCGCCAATACGCAATTCGGAAACACAAATTTGATATTTGCAAATCAGCAGGTTGATATGATGTAACCAAAAAAATCGATAATTGAATTCCTGTTGCCGACTGCCAGAAATATATAGCACATTTTGCTTAGTCATATTGCTTTTAACACTTGAATAAACTGAAAAAGCTCCAACGAACTCAACACAATAAAATCACGGTGCGAATGTGAACATATGGGCAATATAAACTGAAATATATAATATATACTTATGCATTACATGGTTGTATGACCACATCCCATAAATAACTAAATATATTTGTTTTTGAATGTACTATTTATAGCCAAAATAAATATTTATATATATAATTTATTTTTTTTCTCTGCATTGTAAAACCAAGCCTGCGGTGCTTCCTGCAAAAAAACCGTGTCGTTATGTTTCGTATCGAATATACATCTAAGACGCATATACCTTAACACATGCATACATGCTCATTTGTGTGTATCCCCAGTGCTGCCACTTACATCCTACTTCGTGCCATATATCCTTTCTGCGGTTTTACGTTTGAGTAACTTTTCAAATTATGTGGCTTGATGTCCTGTCCAGACGCATATATTCGCATGTCTTTGCACCAAAACATTTTGCTTTATTTTTTGTTCTGCTGCGAAGGAAGTTTGTGCAAATGCCAGCTGCCGCCTTGCCACGCTTATTAACCACAAAATTCGGCGAGGCGCAAAGGATTTCATTTGCAGGCGGCAAAATGTCAGCACTTTTCTCTTCTTAGATATTCATTTATGTATATATATTATATTTTATATATGTGTGCGTGTATGCATGAGCAACTCTTCTTTGGGCCTAAACCTCGGCGTCCGCCAAATCGTTTACAAAATCACAACATGTTTTTGTTGCTGGCACTGTGTGTAATTGCATATAAAATTCAGTAAACAGTTTTGTAACATGACTGGGCAATTTTCTTTAAGCGCCACATGCCGCCCTCGTGGTTTTATTGACTTCAGCTTGCTGACGTTTGTAGCGGTATTTACTTTTTTTGTAGGCGCAACACATTGACTTAGAGCCCAGCGAAAGAAAACACAACTTAGAAAAACAACAATACAAAAATCTCTATTTACCTTTCGGTGGTTTTGTGTGGCGCTTGTTTTTTACGTCAGCTCTGTAAATAATTGTTTAACACATGCCAACCGCTTGACTGTATATATACATATGTATTATATATGCATTTGCGGTTTAATCGATTTGCCATGCGCTACACGTCTTCCACCAATAATAACTATAATAAATGCATATTTTAGCTGCATGTGAAAAATGTTTTACTACTAACCATTTATAATCAATTTAGAAATCACAGTACTGAATTTTTGGCTGCGGCGCATGCGTGCATTATCTGCTGCACGCGTGTTAATTTTTGGGCAGACAGAGCGACAGCTTCGATTTACTACAGATCGTGCATTGCTGCACTTCTAAGTGCCGATCAAATGTGGTATTTGAGTGCCACGGAATTACAAAGTGATAAAAAAAATTCCAAAGTTGAGGAAACGAGCTTTTTGAGAAACTTGATGTTCAAATGCCACTAAGATACGAAAAAGTGAATGTTTAGGTGTGAAAAAGCTTCTACAAACTGTTCAGTAGTCATCTCATCCCTCATCTATCATCAAATTTCGAAACCTGTTAGCAATTAACCATCCCTTCTGATGAACCCTAGTAGCATGCTTATTAGTTACATAAATCTACTTGGCAAAAATTTAATTTAAGTTATGACTTGGATATTGTTTAGGGTAAGTTATCTCTATACTGTTTTTTTGTGGAGATTTAACTGATTTTAAACAGCATTCCCAAGCAGCTCGTTTTTATTTTAGGTTAATTTCGACATTTCTGAATTTCACAAAATAATCTCGATAACTTTTACTAACTATTCTGCAGA